TGTGTGTATGTGAACATTTCATTTTTTTTCCTGAACCATTTGAAGATGTTCTATATATTGTGCTCTTTTACCCCTAAATAATTGTGTATTTTCAAAACATGTAGTAAATTTAACATTCAATGAAAATATTGTGTCAACCTGTTCGGATTTTGTCTAATTTTGTCAACTGACCCACTAATTTTGTTGACTGACCCAGTAGTGGCTTTCATTATTTTTCTCTCTACAGTACAAAAATCTATCCAGGGTCAGGTATTATCCCTCCATGTCATGTCTTTTTAGTGTCTTTTAGTCTAGAATATTTCCACAGCCTCTTTTTGGCTTTTCTGACATTGACGTTTTTGAAAGACTTACTCTCCCTTTCCCCAGTGCTCCACCCCACCCCTCGGTTTTTTGGAACTTTCCTCATTTTGAGTTTTTCTGATGTCTCTTCATAATTAGGTTCAGGTTGTGTTTCCTTGGCTGATGCACTGCATAGGTGATGTATTATCACATGTGGAGGTGCCCAGTGTCCATTTGTCTTTTATTGGTGAAGTTCTTTTGAGCACCTGGTCAAAGTGTATAGTTTCTTCACTGTATAGTTACTGGGTTCCCCCACCCCAATAACTAATAAGCAATCTGTGTGGATACACGTCTAAGACCATGAAAATGTCCTTTTCATTAAAACTTTGCCTTATGTTTAGCAATCATTGATGATGCTGTCTGATCCAGTCTTTACTGTGGTAGTTGCAAAATTATGAGTTTTCTAGCTCTAGACTTCCCTCTACTTTAACCAAGTTGGAACTTGGCATGTAATAATTGTGCATCCTCCTGCTAGCTTATATAGTTATTTATTTGTCTTTTTGTTCACTTACCAGTCTGTCCATCAATCCACCTACCTACCTCCTTACTTACCAGCTTAACCTACTTAACCACCTATCCATCCATTCCATTATGGAATTATTGGTATGACTCATGAATTCCTATTTTTTTGAAAGTATTTTATAATTCATTAGTATACTTAGTGTTCAAATTGTCCCATATTCAGGGGCACCTGGGTGGCTCAGTCGATTGAGCATCAGACTTCGGCTCAGTTCATGATCTCGCGGTCTGTGAATTCGAGCCCCGCGTCGGGCTCTGTGCTGACAGCTCAGAGCCTGGAGCCTGCTTCGGATTCTGCGTCTCCCTCTCTCTCTGGCCCTCCCCCACTCACACTCTGTCTCTCTCTCTCTGTCAAAAATAAATAAACATTAAAAAAAAATTCAAATTGTCCCATATTCAGCTAGTGGAGCCCTTTCAAACTGGCTTCTATGTTCTTGTGACATGCCTGTGTTTTTCAGGAATTTCTTTCTGGCATTCGTCTTGTATATACCTTGTCCGAGTACTGGAGTTACTGGATCCTTGAAGATCCTTGGTTCCTTGTCATGGGAAATGGTATTCAATACTAAGAGTTGAGCATTATGTTTCATAGCAATTTTTAAAACAGATGGTATGATTTAATTTTACATAATAAAAAACTAAGTCTCAGGTTATATAATATACTCAGAGGTACACTGCCAGTAAATAAAGAAGATTTAAACCCAGGTCTCTCTCTCTTAAGCATCATGTTCTTTTCAGTTACACTGTCACCTTCAGTCTCGTCACCTGGTTTCCTTCCTCCCTTCCTTCCTTCCTTCCTTCCTTCCTTCCTTCCTTCCTCCCTTCCTTTCTTTTTTAGTTCTTAGTCCAAATTGATATAAAAGTTTGCTATCATTTAATTTTTACAGATAAGAAAAAGATCCTTGAAATTAAGGATTCATGCTGTGGACACTGCTTCCAAGAACTTGAAAAGGCAAAGCAGGAATGTCAAGATCTGAAAAGAAAACTGGAGAAATGCTGTAGGCATCTTCAGCATTTAGAAAGGAAGCACAAAGCTGTAGTGGAAAAAATTGGAGGTTAGCATTCAAAGTAGCACTACTACTGGCATAAATCTCACTGATCCTTGAAATATTCAAATGTGACGTTTTAGTTAACGTAGGCACCGATTCTCTGAGGATTAAGGTAAACTAATTTGGACCTTATTTTTACTAACCAAATTGTTATTACTGAACTACAAAGAGGAAAATTGGAGCTCTGATTAAAAGGTCACATTCCTTTCTTCCTTTTTGGGCTGAATAGATACTGAATGCCCAATATGCGTCAGGCATTGTTCTAGGTACTAGGGACACAGCAGTGAATGCATCAGACAGAACTCTAGTTCTGATATAGATGTATAAGACTCTTTCCTTCCTTCAAGAAGCTTATCATCAAGTGAAGAGAACTAAAAGCAGATTAATAAGTAATTGCAGCACTGAGTGCTCCTGGTGGTATGTTTATGTAAACTTGGGAGAAAGGATGTTAATTAACTCTTCCTCCTATTAGAGTTAAGGAAGGCTGATTAAGCCTTGAAAGATGAAGACGTTTGCCAAAGAGGACGTCATTCTAGACAGAGGGGAAAGTCGTGCACAGAGACATGTGGGCATCCTTCACAGTGTTGTCAGGGAAGTTGTCCGAAAGGACAATTGTCTGCCATCTTCTCTTGCCCTTCTGAAGAAGGGAGGCTACTGGGCTTCTGAGGTTGTTCCTTCTCACCTTGTGCTAGTCACTTATATTCCTGTGCTCTATACTCTGTACATGCGAAATATTCAGATTGCCCTGCTGGTCAGGAATTTTACTGCTGGACCCCACATACAATGTTGTCACTCTTTCCTACACTTTACCCTTTCACTCTCATTTTGGCCTAACTCTTCCTCATCCTCTAGGATTCAACTGGGAGGATGCCTTATCTGCAGAGCCCTTCTTGATTTTTTCTGGTCTGGGTGAGGTGGGCCACTTCTGTGTGGCCCCATAGCACTTAGCTCCTCGTCTATTTCCATTCAGTATTTAATTGTTTTGGTTACTTGCCTGATACCCTTTTCCAACCTGTATGTTCCCTGAGGATAAGAAATATGTTGTATCTTCATCATTGTAGTCAGGATGCCCATTACATGTCAGATGATAATAAATGTTTACATGAATGAAGGATTGAATGCAGGGGTCCCAAATAATTGTGTCATCCAGAAAAGACCAGGTGGATAGGTTCACTTTATTTCTACATTTCAACTCTATTGTTCACCTGGATGGCAGTCACTTTCTGGCTCTGCTTCCTCTAATCCATTCCCCATTAGACAGCAATAGTATCCTTTTTTTTTTTTTTTTTTTTTTTTTTTTTTTTTTAAAGTTTATTTATTTTTGAGAGAGCGAGAGACAGAGCGTGAGCAGAGGAGGGGCAGAGAGAGAGAGAGGAGAACACAGAATCCGAAGCAGGCTCCAGGCTCCGAGCTGTCAGCACAGAGCCTGATGCGGGGCTTGAACCCACGAACTGTGAGGTCATGACCTGAGCTGAAGTAGGACACTTAACCTCCTGAGCCACCCAGGGGCCCCAAGAGTGACCTTTTAAAAAAATAGATTGAATCATGCAGCTCTTTTGTTTGAAGTCCTTCCATGGCTCATCTGGTCCTCAGTAGGAAGTACAAACATTTTATTTAACATTGTTTAAGAAGCCTTTTATGATTCAGCATCTGCCAGCCCCTTAGTCTCATCTTGCCCCAGCCTCCTTATTCTGTCATTATCTCTTTTCTCTCTCATCTGTTTTCATCTCCCTTTACCAAAACATCTGTCTTTCCATGCTGATCACATTGCCGGGCTAACTCCTACTCCTCTCTCCCCAGTACACTGTTTCCTCAGGGAGGCTTTCCTCACCACCCCAGACTTAACTAGTTAGCTTTTTTCTGTTAGACATTACCCACAGCATCTATGATTTTTCTAACATTTATCACATCATCCTGGTAATTAATTTTTGTCTGTATTGTCCTTTGGAGGGTAGCCTTGATGGTGATAAGGATCAAGTCCTGACCCAGCACTTAGCACAGTACCTGGCAACATAGCACGCTCTGTGAATACTGTTGACTAAGAGAAGCCATCCGCTTTGCTTCCGCCTACTGCTTACCAAGTCTGTTAGAGATAGATAATAATTACCTTTAAGGCAAGAATGGATTTTAAGAATTTTGAGATAAAAATTTTAACAACTGTAATTCCTATGGTGATGGCTTAGGTCTTTGGTAGAAGCCAGGAGAGTTAAGGAGCTCTCCTTAACTGAAATTTGATGAAAGTTAAGAATATTTGTTTTACCTAGTAAAATGACAAAGGCAGCTGGATAAGATTATTATTCATAAATAATGTTTAGCACTGTATGTTGTGATCTTAGTTATTCCACATAGGGCTTTTTGAGGCTATCTTCTATAATTTATAGACTTAGAAATAATCCAAGAAGTTGGTACTTAGCTCAAAACAATGGACTAATAAAAGGGGTTGGGGGTCAAAATTTAAGTCACTTGATAGTTTGATTTCAGTGTTTGTCTTAATGTAAATCTATTAGTTGATAATGTTTTTGCTACTATGGTTGCATCTTTTCAGTTTCTTAAATTCCACTTTCTATGGTGTTGGTAGCATTTATTGAAAAGTGGTGGAGTAAGAGGAAGTGATTTAAAAACATACAAGTTATGTCAATCGCTAGGAGAAATAGAGCACTTTATTACTCAATTGACAGGGTGTGTTGAGAGAGGAGCATGGCAGGAAACATGGTGTGCCGTGTTCATATCTATTAGACATTGGTATTGCCAGGCTTTATATAAGATGCACTTATTTTATTTCTATTATCTTCAAAGTAGGTAATACTATCTCCATTTTCCATATGAAAAAAACTCAGGTTCAGAAAATTTAAGTAATTTGCCTAAGCTCATTTAACTGGTAAGGAGCAGAGGTAAGACTTAAACCCATGTCTCTCTCACTCAGAAATTTATGTTTTGTTCTCCGTTCCATGTGGACTCCATCAGTTTCCTCTCATCCTCTTTTTAAAAGTTTAAAGAATTGAAAATCTTACATTAATGGTGAAAGTGGCACCTACTTAAGCTCAACTTTCTTTTTATTTTGTTTAGAAGTGCTTGTTCAATGCTCATGTATAGGAGCATAAGGATTGTGAAATTACAAGACCTGATATGTTTCTAGGGGGCTTCAGTGTAGCTGGGAAACAAAACAGATGCATCTGAAACGGTTGGAAACCTATTTCAGGGCAGTGTGTGACCCAGGCAAGATGAGGGTGGAATCCAGATTTCAAGCACTGAGGAGCCAGAACAGGGAGTGGTGACATTAGGATTCATCAGGGAATGAGTGATGTGGGGAGCAGCTGGAATTCCCAAAATCTTCTCTACAAACATTTGCTCTGGGAACTTAAGGGAAAGGAAGACTGAAGAAAAAAAGGTTAATTGACCACTATTAACTTTCCTTTTTAGAAGAGAATAATAAAGTTGTTGAAGAACTAATAGAAGAAAACAATGACATGAAGAGTAAATTGGAAGAACTGAGAGCACTTTGCAGAACACCACCAAGGTAGACTTTTACCATTAAAAAAAAACTTTTTTTTTTTTTAACATTTATTTGTTTTTGGGAGACAGCATGAGCAGGGAAGGGGCAGAGAGGCAGGGAGACACAGAATCCGAAGCAGGCCCCAGGCTCTGAGCTGTCAGCACAGAGCCCAACGCGGGGCTCGAACTCACAAACCGCGAGATCATGACCTGAGCCAAAGTCGGAGGACGCTCAACCGACTGAGCCACCCAGATGCCCCAAGAATGATTTATTTAAAAAGATATCCAAAATATATTATTAAATTTAAAAAACAGGTTATAGAACAACATTTATAATACAGTCCCATTTTTATTTCATTTATTTTATTATTACTTTTTAAAAAAGATTTACTTTTAAGAGAGAGAGAGAGAGAGAGAGAGAGAATGAGCGGGGAAGAGGCAGAGAGAGAGAGAGGGAGGCACAGAATCCGAAGCAGGCTCCAGGCTCTGAGCTGTCAGCACAGAGCCTGATGTGGGGCCCGAACTCATGAACCGTGAGATGATGACCTGAGCTGAAGTCGGAGGCTTAACTGACTGAGCCACCCAGGTGCCCCAGACTTATACTATTTTGAAGAAATTGTTTATTTCTAAGTATGTTTAATTTTTTATATAAATTATATTAATATCATACCAAGAATATAAAACTTGTCATTGTTATATAGCAAGAAGTATAAAAAAAGAAAATCTTCCAAAACCCTATTCTCAGCAGATGCCCTCTGTCAGCCTCTTGTTTTATATCATTTAAACCCCTTGTACACATGTGTGCATGTTTTAAAAAGAGAGATTATTATGGAAGCTGTTTTGTAACCTTTTATTAACTGAATGTCCTAAGATAAACATTTCCATATGTCATAAAATATCCTCCCATAATATGCTTTTCAGTTGCTGCATATATTTTCATCATGTGGATTTATCATGATTTATTTAAGTAACCATAACATTTGTTTCCGTTTTTCTTTTATTTTAAATAACTATATAATAAAGACCTCATATATGATTTTTTTAGCACATCTCAATTGGATGTTATTGGAATATATAGATATTTTTACTTAAAATCTCTGTTTGCAATATTTGGTTCATTTTTAGGTCATTGTCAGAAGGGGCCATTGAAAATGCTTGCCTGCTGTGCAATGGGAAGGCCTTGGAGGAACTTCGCGGACAGTACATTAAAGCTGTAAAAAAAATTAAGCGTAAGTTCCTAAGGGGAGTCGCAGGATTTTAAGGTTGTCTGAACCATTTTTTTACTCACTAGTACTAGTAATTTGGGGGAATTTTCCAAATTATTTTGTTCTGAGATCTTACCTGCTTTTAGAAGAGATTAGTGACTCCTTTTCTAAATTATGCAGCAATGGGTAATTTTGCCCAATATCTTTTGGAAGTGACATGAGGGTAGAGTTATTTTACATCATTAATTATTATTAATTATCCTGTTCCTTTTTTGGGCACTAATGTCAAACTAAAAATTTCATAATCTTTTTTTTTTTTTTTTT